GGGAGAAAGAAAGGAAAGAGGGAAGGGAGAAAGAAAGAAAAAAGGGAGGGAGGGATGGGAGAAAAAAAGTAGGGAAGGAAGGAAGAAAAAAAGAAAAAAGTGAGGGAAGGGGGAAAAAAGGGAAGGGAGAAAGAAAAAAAAAGAAAGAAAGAAGGAGAGGGAGGGGAGAAAGGAAGGGAGGGGAGAAAGAAAGGAAAGAGGAAAGGGAGAAAGAAAAAAGGGAGGGAGGGATGGGAGAAAGAAAAAAGGAAGGGAGAAAAAAAAGAAAGGGAGGGATGGGAGAAAGAAAGTCGGGAAGGAAGGAAGGGAGAAAAAAGGGAGGGACGGAAGGGAGAAAGGAAGAGAAAGAAAGAGCGGGGGAAGGGAAAATGAATGAGATATCGATGGATGGATAGAGGGAGGGAGGGAGAGAAAAAGGAGAGGAAGGAAGGACCACAAACCCTGGCACTAAATGCAGCTTCAGAGGATGCTTTGAAACAGCAATCCAGGGCTGGAAGGGACCTCGGAGGTTATCTAGTCCAACCCCCTGCTCCAAGAGCATTGTTAGTGAGTTTCTCTCTTCTTCTCACCAAGGACCCCTCAGTTCTCCTCCTCCTCCTCCTCCTCCTCGCAAACCCCACTTCCTTCTAGTACTGAAGATACTACCTAGTTGGATAATGAGACGTTTGTAAGAAAACCACCAAGCTCAGAGAGCACCAAGGACCCCTCAGTCCTCCTCCTCCTGCTCTTCCTCCTCCTCCTCCTCCCTGCAAGCCCTCCTCCTGCTGGTATGGATGATGGTACCTACTTGGCTATTGAGACATTTGCAGGAAAACCACCAAGGGCCCTTTGATGCATTATTCCCCAGTCCGATTCCTCTTCTCTCCCAGCCTCTTGGCGGGTTGCTAATTGGGCGAAAGTTACCCACCCCTCCTAGAAAGCAGAGCGACGGAGAAGCCACCACAAACTACAACAGACCCTCTTGGTAAATTTACCCCCAGAAAGACTGCCGGCGGCCACTTACTTCCTATTGCGTGCTTCGGTCAGCTCCATGAGTTGCTCCTGAGCCAACCTCAGCTCATCCAGCCGTTGCTGGTAACGCACGTCGCAACTGTTGCTGTGCTCCAGGTTGGACACCTGGTTGGAGAGCTCGTTTGCCCGGTCCCGGAGTTGCTGGATGGAGGAATACAAGTTCTCGTCGTCTTCTTCCTGCAAGAGAGAGAAAAGTACTTCCAGGTGGCTAGGTCTTCCTTGGTTTGCGTCTTGCCCAGACCTGGAAGGGAACCTTGTCAGATGTTCTAGCGGCCCGCCAGCGGAGCTGGTTGCAGAGTCGGACAGTGAGGAGGTTGGAGAGGAACATGGGCCAGTCCTGGAGTCTGGGGAAGGCTCGGACGAGGGCTCTGTGTCAGAAGCAGAGATGGGGCCAGGGCCATCCGATAGTTATCAGCTCCCTTTGGAGTTGGAGATCAGTGGGGAAGAAGAACGGCTGGAGCCTGTGCCCAGTGTGCGCACGCGCAGAGCTGCCAGAGGAAGGGAACAGCTAAGGAACAAGGGTCGACTCAGGAGTAAAGCCACAGGTAGACGGTGAATGGGCTCTCCCAGAGGGAATCAAGAGGAGTGAAAGGGGAGTGGTGTTTGCAGGAGACAATTAGTTCGTTTAATTAGTGTGAAGATTTGTTGCTGACTTCTTGCCAAGTCATTGCTGCTACAGCGTGGCGTCTGGAAGATATCGGCCCGGCAACTCTCCAAGCCTAATAAAGGTCTGTAGTTGTGAAATCTCATGAAAGGCTGTTTTGCTGGAGAGGAATTCACTTTAAACTGAATAAAAGGAGTCTTACTGGAATGAGGAGTCGGCTTCATGATCTTGGGAAGCCTCGGTCAAAACAACTACGATCCTCCTGTGGTCTCCTTTTTCAGGACATGCCAGCCCGACCCTGTCCGGCCTCCGACTCGGAGGCTGCCACGCCTGATGCCTTTTCTGGGAGGACCCCAAAACTCACCTTGGCGTTGATGATTTCAATGTGGAGCAGCAGAGAAGCCAACTCCAGATCCTCACTGTAGCTGTTCTTCAACGGCACCGACCGGTAGCCTGTGGACAAAGGTGGACGATAAACTCCCAAATCCATCTCACTGTACAGCTGGACAGCCAAGCAAACGATCTCCAGGTCGTCCTCAAGGACTATCTGCAGACCGAGGACTACCCACACATTTCTGTTGCTAAGCGAGACGTTCGTTAAGGGAATTTTGCCCCATTGTATGACCGATCTTGCCAGTGTCAACTCCTAAAACATTTTGTATACACGTTTTATAGCTGTCAACAGAAAGAAGGGGGTGGGGGGAGTTTCAAAGAGCAGGTGGCAGTGTGGAATCGAAAGTACATTCCATTCATATTTTCTTCAAACACTGATTAGATGACTGAAGCTTCTGCTGGCAAAAATCTTAATTGGAGAGCATGATTGATGACTCTTGGCTATGGATGTGTTTCATTGGATGATACACCCGGAGGGGGGGGGAAGCAGGATCAAGGGTGACAGTGAATTACGTATTTCAGAGTTGGCTACACCCAGGTAAATGCCGGATGCAGAATGTTAACTTCTAATAAATCTTTTTTAGTTTTGGGAGTGAGGCTCAAGGCTCATGATTTAATTGGAGTAACTGCCAGAATCCTGACAGTCGGGGTTAAGTGAACCACTGCAGTTGTTAAGTGACTCACATGGTTGTTAAGTGAATCTGGCTTCCCCGTGGACTCTACTCATCAGAAGGTCACAAAAGGGGAATCACGTGAACTCCGGGACACAGCAACCATCATAAGTGTGAGTCAGTTGTCAAACATTGGAATGTGAATTGCGTGGGGTGGTGGTGCAATGCTCAAAAGTGTGAAAATGGGTCCTAAGTCACTTTTTTCAGTGCTGTCATAACTCCCAACGGTCGCTAAATGAACCATGGTAAGGCGAGGATTCCCCTGTAGAGGTGCAGTCCTCGTTTTACAACCGGAATTGAGCCCAAAATTTCCACCACTCTGCGAGGCAGCGGTGAAGGGAGCTTTTTATCCCATAGGGTGTTAACGTCGTTCAGTGTATAGCTGCGGTCATTAAGCGAATCGTGCAGTTGCTAAGCGAACTTGGCTCCCCCCCCCCACCAATTCCACTTGTTGGAAAGCAGCTGGGAAAGTCACAATTGGCAATCCC